ACTCATTACGATCGAGTTAAAAAAAATGTTTCAATCAGAAATTTAATTCAATCGATTCAATATGATTCCTTTTATATTGATTTCAATGTCATAAAATAAATTAATTTTTTTTTCGTATAGATAAGTACAATATATAATATAATGGAGATAATCGAATATTGATTAATTATCTTGGCTTTTTAATTTGATATACAGTATATTGTGACTCCGTGCTTTAATTTATGACTTTACACGAGTATTATATAAAATATACACGAATACAATTGTATTAAAAAGAATTTTTGCTGAAATTGTAAAATGAAAAAAAACCAAGTATGGTTTGCAATTTAAAAATAAAATATCTGCTCGTCGGGACACGCAGTATTATATTACTATGGGTTCATGATTAGACAATTATTATTATGGATTGTTATGGTATAATAGCTTACACGATTTCCGATCGGTTCGACGATCGAAGTGTCACAAAATTGTTGGCTTTATCACGTATAGTGCATTAATATAGCTGGCTCATTGTTTTGATGAATCGTTTGGAACACCCTGAACAAGTTACACGAACATACATCAAAATTACTAATACCTACACGAAAATCTAATGCGGTGTTAATTTCTCCACGCAAACATGGAACGCGATAAAATTATAATAAAGCTGTTTTAGAGTTCGTATTGAGCACATTGTTCGCACGATCCAACTCTTGCGTATTATTTGTTGTTATTTATTATTATTATTATTATTACCTATTCATATTTTCTTAGGACGAAAACATGACGAGGAACTTCACGTGTTTATGTCGAATTGTTGGTGGAGGAGAAGAGTGAATTATTACACGTAAACGATTTTATGATGCGATCGATACACGCAAGTATATTACAGTATATTTCAGTATATTATTGTATTACTAGTACACCTACTAAAGCACCGTTTACTTTACAAACAAAAGAAAAATCAACATCGTAGACCCACTGCGTGAATTTATAAACATAAGGCACATTAGAACGTAAAGAAAAGTTTCAGTGAGAGGTATTATAAAATTATTATCTATTGTAAGAGTGGCACGGTGAAGTCGTATAATCGCGTAAGTCGAGTTCGTTCCCATAAACAGAGACACATTTTACACATGCGCATGACGGTTGTCCTTATGTACAACTACATGCATATCGAGCAATTAATATTTCATAGAGTATTTTATAAATAAATATAGACCTTATATTATTATATATCATTATCATTAGCTCGTTACTACCTCCTATATCCTTCGATAACATATGATTGTTATTATTGTAAAGGTTTCGACGTTTTGTTCGCAGTAAAATACTTGATGATCATGATTAGCTAGCATCCTTCCGTAATAATATTATTTAATGTCCCGGGGCTATACAATATAAAATATACATACAGAACCAACCAACTGTGGTAATAATTTTTAATTTTAACTAATCGACATATACGCCGTCTCTTCCGGCGTACGAAGTATTGTACTCGATTATTGTACCAGTATTTAAAAATACATAGGTACTAATAAAAAAGTTTTTTCCACAATCACATACTCATAATATGACTACATATAATAAATACTTTCCATATATTAGTCATCGCAAAGATACACATCCATTAATTTATATACATACTTATAAACTATTACAATTTTTATCATAAATGTGAAAATAAGACTAGTGACTAACGATACTCCATAATAAATATTGACTGGGTGTTTAAGATATTTAGTAGGAACATAATATTTATATCGCGCATATTTCAAGTGTTGAACATTGAAATGACTGGAATCAGTACTTTTCTTTATAAACAGCAATACATTTTCCCTAGGTTTTAAAGGTTTTAAAAAATAATAATACACCAATGGCGTATCCAGGGGGTTAGGGGGTTATATCTCCCCAAAAAATGTTAAATGTATATATATTGTCTATTGATTATAATAAAAACACACAAAATTTAAAAAAAAATTAATGTTCATTTTTTATAACCCCTCTCCCCCAAAAAAAATTCTGGATACGCCACGGTAATATACATTTTATAATTTTTTATCGACGTTTTAGCATTTTATGTATATTGAGTTGATTCATTGATACGAAAAATATCTTATTTATATTTTATCCAATTAATAAAGTTGAAATACAAATCATTCAATAAGTATGTACGTAATCACATAAGACTTATTTCCAGAATAAATAATCACAGATTATCATATAATTATGTAAATTGATTATTACTCATACACATATTTGTATTTATTCAAAGATTTTAAGTATTCTAACATTTCCAATACAGTAATATCTTTTTTAAAAAATTTCCAAAACCATTTCGACAATATTGGTAAACACTATTTTCATTTCAAACGTATCTGTGTATCCTACCATATATGCATAAATAAAATACGTTAAAATATGCCTTCACTTTTAACAATAGACTAAATCGTGTTGTCCTAACGATAACCTTTGACCTGTATTTTCGTATACTATTTTCTTTTTTACTATAGGATTGGTAGTAGCATGTTTAATTTTTTTTTTTATAAATTGTTAGATAAAGTGTTTTTTTTTAGTTAAATAAAAGTGGAACGCAAATGGTGGGAAAATATTTAACTAACATTTACAAGTGTACCGTTTCAAGTATAATTTGTGCAAAAAAATGCAAATGACCATGTTAAAATGACGATTCCAGAAATATTTAAATTCCACTATATGTACGTATACTGAATCGATTAATCTGAAATCGTTAATATTGCTTTAATTTCAAAACATTACAACTAAATCATAATTATTAAGTTATTCACGAGGTTGTACATTAGTTAGAAATACATTAAAAAAAATCGAGCCAATTATTTTAAATCGCACTTTTGTTGGACCATGGGGACATTTGGTTTTATTCTATACGACAGATGTTAAAAATATATATTTATAATTTAATGCTCAAATATTATTAATTGACGTAATCGCTTTTCTCTTATCACTATATTGCAGTTAAATGCTTGAATAAATGAGTTGTAATAATGTTTCATTAATGTGTGTCGATAACACATGATGTTTTTCTCAACCATTTTATTCGTAAATTATAACATATTATGTATATTATGAATATATTATAATTTAATTTATAATAATATTTACATGTACACGAGTTAACATATCACTCATACCTATTTGGTTATGTACACAAATCATTTTATTGACTTAGTGTAAGTAGGTACGTTTAATTTTAATCGGTAGTCTTAAAACAAAATTATTTTTTATTTATTTAAAAGCGTACCTAGCATTAATAAACACTTGTTGAGTTATTAAGACGTAATCGATTACTTATATGGATACAGTAAATAAATATTTGAATATTTACTTTTTATATTATAATATTGTAACGACATTTTAAAAATAAAAAAACCATTTCGATTGTATACGCGTATGTTAAATACTATAATCAAAATCATTTGAAAATCAAGGAGTACCTATTATTCTTACACGGATTTTAAAAGCAACATCACGTATTATGTATTATACGACGTCTATCCCGTTGTATACAATGATACATGTTTTCTGCATGGTTATACATTAACATTACATATATTTATAAATATAGACTATATTTTTAGGACTTTTTCGTTATAATAAACAACGGTGTGCACTATTATCAACAACGTTATCAGGCACCAAAAATAGACACATTTTAAACTTAATATAGCATGAAAATCTTTACAAAACACACACACATACATATATATTTAGTATAGTTATTGTTTGAAAACCATAAAAAAAAAACTATTTGAAAATTCCCACCACGACTACGCATAGTTACACACTCACTCGCTTACAAGCGTTATCTCTCGTAAATCGCCGAGACAATGAAATAAAAACCACCTTAACTAAATCGTAGGTGTATAGGCCTACACTTGTTTGATAAGTTAGTAAGACTGAACGTAATATGAACATGATAGCATTGCAAAGTGCAACGTCTTACATACGACAATATCACGTTATAAATAACGACGCCGACCGGTGATAATACATCATCAGTGTCGATATCCATTTTACAGCCACGTGTACTGTAGCGATCCAGGTAGTGTCATCGTTCTCCCTGAAAATGCGCGACCCTACATTTTTCGGACCATTAACATAATAACATAGTAGTTTTTAGTAATAAAAAAAAAAAAAAAAAATGTAAAAGTTCACCGTAGAAACACATTGTTTAGAATAATAGACCAATGGTGCTGTAATATTATACGATAACACTATTCAAAACCTAAATTTTAGTATTATACTCGTATTATTTAAAATTTATAGTTTATAAATTTTATCTTTTTTTTGCTAGGCTCAACCATGTTATTTTGTGGTCTCCTACCTAGTAAAATATCCTGTCGCAGTCACCCCGCGCGTATCGCGAATCTATGTGTGGGCGTAAACCTAAATCCACATCCATGGGTTAAACGTGTGGTGTAAGGAGGTAGCCAGGGTTAGGGGTTACGACCATACGCACGTAATCAAATAATCGTATTACAATGGGATTTACGAATACAAGGTGATTTACGTGCATAAGTATATATAATGCATCTCACGTTGGGCTTTTTTTTTTTTATTATTATTATTATTTTCCGTGCGCATAAGTACTTTTTTCATAGGTTTCTCATAGTTAGTTGTGTGTCGAAACTGCGACGGCACCGGCACCAGAATGCGGTCAAACGGGTTTCGCGCGCCACCGTCGCCCAACCGGTGGCGGGAACGACGTGCGGGTGGGTAAACGCACGCATACACCGGTGCATTTACTTCGGTACGCAAACGTACATAAACAGGCCCGTGGACGAAACTGTCCCGTAAAAACTAATGAACGTCTACTACGCCCAACCCGTCCCTTTGCACCCCACGTCCAACTGTCAACGTCAAACACGGTGAACAGTCATTGGCCCTGAACACGTTTGCCGCTTTTTTCACCGCGGTACGCCTTCGACCTGGACGTGTCCGTGATAATATTATAACTCCAAAAGAAATTCGTAAGCACTTACTCGTACGACGACGATGTGTATTTGTGTGTGTGCCGAAGATATTCCTTTACGAGTTTTTGAGAAACAAGCTTCCGGCAAACCGATTAGGATCGGCAACTTAAAAAGCACAAAAACATAAACTACACGATTAAACGAGCGTATTATTATTGAAAACAGCGCAGTCAGCTGTCGACTAAACACTTAATAGACGAGAGGAGGAAAAAACGCGAAGAACTAAAATGTGTAAAAAAATTTAAAAAAAAAAAAAAAAAAACCGATAAACCGAAAACACGTACAGCACTATCAACGACGCAAAACTATCGCGGTCGCGTACTAACTGGCAACCGAAACGTGAGAACAGATGGAACTAGCCTGCTGCGACGCGAAACGACCAGCTGTTATTATTCCGGTTTCAGCGAATCGGTCGATGCGTGTCCACCGCCATCTAGCGGTACCCTCGTCGGCTAACACGATCACGACACTTTATTACGGAGTCCAAGCAATAAATAAGATTATTTTGTTATTAATATATTATATGTTTTTGCTACAGCGGTTATAATTTAGAAGTAGACGGATAAGGCCGCACCTACATTGGATCCGTATTTCTCCCGATCCGATCCGATTCGTCGTCGTCCGACTATCGGAATCCGATGACGTCCGACGTGAGTGCCTACATTGGTTCCGTCGAAATCCTTCGACGTCCGTCGAGATCCGTTTAACTGCAGTCTGTATAGGAAGCTATTACAGTCATTATTTTCAGATTAAATACGCGTTGAAGTGGAAAAATCAGACTGAAAATAAACACGTTTGATCGGACGTCGGATCGGATCGGATCGGGAGTCACCAGGAGTCGTCGGATCGGAAGTTCCGTTACCAGTGTAGACACTTACATTACAATTAGGTGTTTGTTTTTTCTCCGACAATCGGACGACGATGGATCGGATCGGATCGGAAGAAATACGGATCCAATGTAGGTGCGGCCTAACGCGGGAAAATATTTCTCTAGTTAATATTAGTCATTGATTTATTTACATGACGGGACGAATCCGAACTAGAACAGTAAATCATTTAAAATTTGTATATTCTATAATTAGGCACGTACTTGATGAGTGAAAACGGACACTTACATTGATATGTTTTGTTATAAAACGCTGACAATGACCAACAATTTGGCATTTGAACAAATAAAGAGAAATCGGCGTGTTCTGAACAGTAGCGGCTCGTAGTAAATATTATGGGGAGACTTAAATTGTTTAACGTAAACTCCATGCAACAACGAACGAAAAAAACACTTTTGTTGGAAAATCAACTTTACTTAATACTTAATTTAATAATCGGTTAATATTTTTATTTTAATTTAATTGTAAATATTTTTATAACCCAAATCTACAATTTTTTTATTTGCGAATTCGCAGATGACGGTGTACAGCGACTAACGACAGCGCGATGGCACGGAAATCATTGTCGTGAACCCGATTTCAATAGTCTATAATACGTGGATTATTCTCTCCGGTCTCCTTCGATATAAACTTGTAAATATTGTGAAATTAATGTTGTTATGTATTTTTATGTTTGTAATTATTAAAATTTAAAACATTTTTAAAGGCCAAAGATACAACTTCGTGGACCGATGAAATACATAGATTTTTCCAAGATGAGAGCCTGTTTGATATGACAATTACCGTGGGTTGGCATATTAATTGTAGAATCTGATACCCAGAAATTTATCAAATGGGATTTGAATGAGAAAAGTAGAAAAATTAAAAAAGTTCCAAATTCAAGTAAATAGTTAATCGATTTTTAATCGTAAAATAATACGTAGAATCATTAAGTAAAGCTTAATAGAAAAGAGGGTCTGAATTCTCCTTTGGGTAGATGAAGATGATCCAAGGACTTATAGTATGTTACGGTTTAGTCCAAGCTGGTGAGAAAATACTGCAGATTCTAGGGCGAAATGGTTTAATTTATGAGCCGCATTTACAGCACGTAATTTTATACATGTAAAATGAACTGAATGAAAAATAAATAATATATCGATTGTATTTAAAAACGATCAAATATAAGGGATGTATTTATTTACAAACAATTCTGATTAACTATATGTATACAAAACACGAACGAGGGAAAAACAGTCAACATCATTATTTCACATTATTATATTTCATTAAAACTATTGTTATGCAATGCGATTTATTAAAGTGTTTAATATTAAAAACGATGCACTTTGTTTGTTATTTTCAATATTATTATTGTAGTTGTGTTTTCTTAAAACTATTCCTATATGTAAATTATTTTACACATTTCAGAAATTAGAATACTTTGCTTATTTTATATTATATACATGCCAGCACTTATTTTTCGTCCGTTGATCTATATGGTTTTTATAACGCATGGCCAATATGTATACTATGTAGGTACTATTTTCCCCTCTTTTATTATACGCAATCAGAAAAAAATGACTATTATAATACTGTCGAAACAAATACCATACAATATTCATCGTCCACTGGAACCATAATTGATGCAAATGAGGTAATAAGATGACTTTTTTTAAAACGTTCTGCTGTCATATCATGTTATTTTTCGTTTCGTAACACAATCGTGTGGTATATCTTCTAGTCAAATTAGTGATGCCTTGTAAGTTGTATCCTTTTAAGTATCTATATATATTTTTTAAATTAAATTCTTAGATTTCTGTGTAAATAGTATGAAAAGTAGAATAGGACACGGTAAAAAATAAACACATATGGTTGTTAAAATGCATTTTGTAATTTAAATTTTAAAATTTAAATAAAATGTTTCAAAATATTCTATGACCTTTAATTCCATAAAGAAATAAAAATCTGCACAAAACGTGTGTACTATATTCTATATTATAGAATTACTTATTTATTGGTGTATTTTATTAGAACTTGAAACCGAAAATGAAGCATTTTGATTTTAAAAGTAAATTTATTAATATTTTATCTATATGATAAATTTAAATAAAAATACAACTCTTACAATTCTTTATCAATTTTTTATTATATTATACATATAATATACCACATCCAATTTAATGATCTAGAGAGTACATTATTGTTTTTCAAAAGGTCATTGCACATTATTTATCTATATCAATAGTTTTAATAATTAATGGTAGTTTGTAGGACTGTAACGTTGTGGGAAAGTATGACTACACAATAAATTAAGTATGTATTGTAATTTTTCAAATATGAAAATTAATTTATCTAGTCATTATCCACGTTAAGTATAGAATTTAAGAATAAGTTATTTCTCAATCACTCAATCATTCTTACTGATATAATAACCTTTTTAATTAATTTAATTATCTGTATACGTGGGTGTATGAAAATATTACAATTGATTACTGCATATTAAAATAACCAGTTTCTTCGTTATAACTATCACAAATTAAACATATTTTCTATAGATCAAAATAACTCATTAAATAAGGCTTAATTTATGTAAGTATAATAAATAGTCATTATATATATATATTATAATTATAATATAATTAATAGCCATTGATCATGATATTAAGAGATTTTTATAATTCTAAAAACTTAAGTATCAAGACCGAATAAAAGCTTTAACCGATTTGTTTAATCATTCAGCATATTCTAAAAGATTATATTGCGTTGTATAATAGTATTTTGCATTGTTTTGTAACAAAACATTTTAAGTGGTTATGAATAATAATATAATATAAAATTAAAGTATAAAGAATATAAAATAAAAATATTTATAGTTATTAATTTATCCTTTGAACAATAGCAATTAACTAATGTAGGATAAAAATATTATTATTATAATATTTTCGACTGAAGTTGTCATAAAGGATAATTTGTTCCATAAGCTATAGAATATTTGTTTAAGATATTGTAACTCGTTTACAATTCATAGGCATCAAAATAATTTTATGAAATATATTACAATGATATTTGAAACAAAATGTTTAAATCTATAATATCAAGATTGACTTTAAATTAAGCTGAAATTGTGTATTTCGTCCATAGATAGTAATAAACGAAGCATAGGTACTCATATTTAAAACTATATACCATTTATTGTTCTTTGATTTAAAAAATCTAAATTGATAATATTTTTTAGCTATAATTTATTATTAATCAAGTTTTTAATTTGATGTTAAGAAAAATAGTATAATCTTAGACGTTAAACGATTCAAGATTTCTTTCGCTGGAGCCCAGATTCGGCTGATCTTCAATAATGTATTTTAAAAGTAGTGTTTAATTTATAATCTGAATGCTGCAAATATTTGTGAACGAAACAGCCTAGATAATTGGCTGAATGATGTTCTATGCATAGAGATTAGAAGTAGCAAATAGGTATTTTGACTTTGAATACTGAGAAATCGAATGGAAATTTCCGTAGCCTAGATACACACATAAAGAAGTATGTATACAATATAATTTCATGTGACCCGAACGTTGAGTAGTTATAGACTTTTTATATATGCATTCCAAAACATTTAATTTTAATACCAAGTAGTTTGAATAATATTTAAATTACTCATTACTGATTTGGTTGGTTTCGAAATTGAGATGAAAAAGAAATTGGAAAATGACGTTCCGTAGATTTATGTAGAGCAAAGGTAATGACTGACGAACTGAAAAATCAATACTTTCATAGTATTCAATTTATGTAGTTGAAGTTTAAAAATATTAAAATTTTAGGTAACAATACGAAATGTTTTACATTTTTACAAAATTTACAATTTTTACAAGCTTACTAGGTGATTTTTCTACATTTCCATCTTTAAAATAACTTAAATGACATAAGTTAAAGCGCTATAAGGCCATTAACTGGAGTTAGTGATTGAAAATATTTTAGGAAGAGTATTATTAGATTGGATAATAATTGAATTGTAATAGTATTACTGGATTGTTTATATTTTCGTCCTCACTAATAATTTAATATTGATGTATGACAGAAATTCTTGCTGTTTATTGAAGTTGGAGGAACTAGAACAATAAGATTAACTGATGGGAATAATAATTCAAATTATCAGTTTAATTTAAAACTAATTAACTTAGAATTAATTAACAGAGAAATGAAGAATGACTGAAACTGTTATTTGAAACCAGCTTGCTATCAAATAAACTTCATGCCAAATCCGTTGATTTTAGAAATATGTATTAAGATCACATAACAAAAGTATAAAAGTTATCGTAAGTAACGAAATAATAATACACACACGTGTGCGCGTACACACACACATATATACTTGTCTTGACGGCGTACGCGACAAAATTGCAAAAGTAGTTATAGTTGGTTTCAAATTAAATAATCATCAAAATGCTTTTTTCTAAGGTGTAAAATA